CTGGTGGATGAACTATGACCGTGTGATCAGAGCGTGATTAACAGCTCTGTTGGTCCTGGTTCTGGATGAGCAGTGCAGTAGAGGATCGTTTCCAGCAGTTCATTCTGCTGGGATGGTCACACGGTTGTCTGACAGACTCCAATCCCCCTTTTTTGTTGTGTTTTTCAGCTGTTTGATTCTATGCCCAGCTGAAGATTGTGCTCTGATTCAAGAAACTGAAAAGGATTAATACCCCACCCAGTTGGAATTACGAAAGAAGGATGGTTTTTTTGTGTGTTTTTGGTGTAAATCAGTTGTTTGATTCTATGCCTAGCTGAAGATTGGTGCTCTGATTCAAGAAACTGAACTGGATTAATACCCACTCAGTTGGAAGTACGAAAGAATGATGGATTTGTTTGAGAGTTTGAAGAGTTTTTCATGACTGAAGCTCTTAATATGAAGCTCTATGTCTGACCGACAGGTTCAAACCCACCATTTTTTGCCTTTTTTGATGAAAAACAGCTGGATGATTTCGTATCTACCAGAAGATTGGTTCTCTGTAATTGAAGCACCTGAATTATCATCATTATTTTTTCTTTTTTTTGGGTGTAAATCGGCGACGTGATTCTGCACCCAGATGAATATTGGTGGCAACTGAATTGGATTAATGTGCACACCCAGTTGGGAATATGGAAGAAGCATTGATATGTTTGAGAGGTTGAAGATCTTTACATGAGAAAATATTTCATGTTACCAAGTTGACACCATTATGTGGTACTCACCCCCAATTAGAAGAGGCCATCTCAATAACATGTCTGACAATGTCAGAAAAATGCCAACTCAGCCATATTGCTGATGTGGTTAACGGGGATAACATTTTCCGTCTTCTCCCTCCTCTATTATTTCTCTCTCTACTGCAAGCTAATCATTTCAGCCGTCCACCCTATTCATTGTTGACATTTCATCTCTGAATTTTCTTAATTCTTTTCAAACACCTCTTTCTCTCATCTCTCAGCCCATTATCTCGCTTCTTAGTTCCTCCATCCTGTCATTTTTTTTCTGGTAAGCCATATTTTCTCTCTCTCTCTCTCTCTCTCACAAAACCCATCATCTATCTTCATTTCTACCATTATTGGTTTGTTCTTCTTCACGCAGAGCGTTCGATCTCTTTGTAACAATTGCTTTATTTTTTAGCCTTTGTATTTTTATGGCTTATAGCACCATCCTTCTTTCCGTTTGCTTTCTTTTTCTCTCTCCTCTCATTTAACAGTGAGTGAGCTACACAAAGTATTCTTTGAAGATCAAGCTCCCACACGAGATTCTTCCAATAAGTTTTTTATGGGTTTTGATACCAACTTATATGTTGCGGGTTTGGTTCTAGCGGATCTGATCGAAAAAATTATCGGCGATAAGATAAAGCAACAGAGTTGTTGAGGTTGAAGTTGCGTTCCCTAGACTTAGTGTAGTGGACATGTGGTATGTTGTAATCACAGGTGGCAACTCGCCATGATGCATGCATTTGAATGGTGCAATAAGTATTTGGTTGGGCAAAGGGTAAAAGATAAGAACAAGATTGCACCTTATCTAATTGGATTGTAAAGCCACTTCAGCTGGGTCTTTTAGCTATAGTAATTTAACATTTTAGATGATTTCTTAGAAGTTATTTTCTGGATTTACTTGTCCAAATTCAAAGTTAAGTTCTGATAGTTCAGACTTCATTTTGTATTATTATATTTGTTCTTATAATTCTTAATTTATTCCTTGTAATCTGGTTGGAAACAAAAGTTATTTGTTTTTTTAAATTAGTTACTTTTCTTTTTATTTAAGAAGTAAATTGTAGAAAGTCTACTTAACCCACCCACTAATTCTTGTGACCACAATTGGTAAGGGAAGTCTTATTAAACAAACCAAATATGATTCTACAATCTACAAAATTGAAAAAACCTGTAAACTTACGATTCTTTTGAACGAAGCTGGTAATGCTATGGGACCCAAAAAATGAGAAGTTTAACAAAACCTGTAAACTTACTCCAAAGGCAAAAGTAAATTTTTCTTTTTAATTGTTTAACATTTACAAAATTAAATGAGTTCACAAAACATAACTTGTTCGATATAGACAATTCATCGAGCAGTTGGTGAACAAAGTTCGATCTAAGTTTCCTTCGAGCAGATTCACTTTTGCCTCAATGGATTCACATTTAACACAATCTAAGAACAATAAAAAATGGATAAACTAATCATTAGTTAACACCAAAGTAACAGAAGAGAAATGGAGGAAAGGAGAAGATATCTTTAGGATCCATAAGGATTTTTCTGATTGATAATTTTGATCTTACGGCAGGGTAATTTAATTTGATTTAAGAGTGGTAAAATTTTATTTTTCCCAACAAGAATACATGGGATAACTTGGTAAACAAATAAAAACAAAATTAAACATTTAAATACACCCAATTTTTTCAATTAACTAAAATGCAAGTAACAGTGCCACATGTTCACAACCAAGACAGTATTGACAAGCATGAGATTAAAGACTATGGACAGATCAGTCCTCCTACTCCATCTTCACGCCATCGAAGCTTTAACTGGAAGCCTTAAGAGCAGCTCAAATATTCAGCCACAATGAAGTATCTGAAGCACAACTAAACATAGATTTAGGCATGAACCACAAAACACCCTTAGTGAAAAAGGGAAAACTAGTTCATTGAAGAGAAGCTGAAAGAAATGGTGGATGGAGGAGAGAGAAAAAAATGATGTGAAAATATTTGGTGGTTGTATCTCACTTGTTTATAGTAGAAACTCAAAATTCAAAACCAAAGGCGGGTGATCCAAAATTTGAAACTTAGGAGATGAGAAAGTTCTAAAAAAAAATACAAAACAGAAAGAAATGATAGGACACAGAGGAGAGAGAAGATGGTTGGAGGAGTAGAGAGAAAACGGAAGTTGTACAACCGTTAGCCTGTCAAATAATTTAGTCCACTTTGCTGACATGGCACACCATCTGACTTTTTATTGAGATGGCCTCTTCTAATTGGTGGTAAGTACCACATAATGGTGCCAACTTGGTACCTACTAAGCATGGAATATTTTCTCATCTTCACATGACTATAGCTCTGGGTTTGAAGTTCTTTGTCTGGCAGTGGCAGAGTGAACTTTTGACCCAACCCAGTGTTTTGGAAAAAAAATTTCAAATAATGGTTTGAAAGTATTTTTCAAACTTTAAGTCTTTTTAAAAATATCAATTGGTCTGATATTTTTAGACTAAAAGATGTTATTTGGTTTGAAGTTTTTAACCTAAAAATGTCAAACCAACTGATATTTTTTCTTAGAGTTCTTTAGAAGTCCGTACACCTAATTAGACTTATTTAGTAAAAAATATATAGAACAAAATATTTTTTAAAAAAGTACACAGCTGAAATACAAAGACGTAAATGACAAGAATGCTTAGACGTTTGAGCCTTCCACTCTTCATGTGTGAAGATAAAATATCAAGTGTTTGGACTTAAGGGTAGTGGAGTTGTCAGTGGTGGTGGTTCGCCTGGGTCGCCTAAGCTATTTCATTAGTAAGAAACATAGAGAAGAGCATAAGCTAGCACTTGGTTGTTTTCAGGCCCTTAATCTCAATTTGAATAAAGGGTTAATTGCACTAATGGTCTTTGAAGTTTACCACTTTTTAAACTTTAGTCCATAAAGTCCCAATTTAGTCAATTTAGTCATCAAAATTTGGGTTTTGAACCAAAGTTGTCCTTCCCCCTAACTAATGTCCAAATCTCTGACGAAAAATAACACATGTAGAAGATAGAAGGGCATCACTATCTTTTTCCCTTATTATCCCGCCCATTCAACTACCTTCAGGTCACGTGTAATGCAAGATTTGAAACATCAAATCGTCACTTCAGACGATGGAAGAGAGACCATCGTTCATTTGTCTAGGGTTTTAAATGAAACTGGAAAAATTGGGTTTTGTAGCGCTGAAGTGTATCATCTTTAGAGAATTGAAGGTTGACAATGATGACTGGAAGGTTCAATAAGTATCAATTGGAGGACGATTGTCTTATTGAAGATTACAGTAAACATTTAGTGTTTTCAATATTGGTTGAAAAGGACGTTTTGTAATTTTTTTTTTCAAAAAATCATATTATGGCAACTGGTTGTATGCAAAGAACTATGGATTTGAGTGTGTTTCAAAAAGTTGTTGTATGCATGGCCCTAATATAAAAATTGATGTTGATGTTTTGTTGATGTAGTGGGTCCTTTATGCACTTATACAAAACTCAGTAACATGTGGTCCCACAATTTTTTGTTGTGTTGCAAAGAAAGATTTCAAATATTTTACTTTAATATTACACCAAAATGGTGAATTCTGAAAGAACCCAAAGATGGTTTATGAGGGGGGTAAGGTTGAATACTTCCACCAAAAACACCTAGATTACATGTCATTGTTAGAGCTTGACGAAATGGCTAAGCAGTTAGGATACGAAGGGGAGATTCTGAGGTATCAATACTGCATACCAGGAAAGGACTTGGATTCTGGTTTAATTTGTTTGTTTTATGACACACAAGTTTTCACTATCTTCAATACATTGTACCCCAACACTGTTGCTGACGTTTACATAGAATATCAAACAATTGATGATGTTATTGATGACCAAGACTTCACAAAAGATTATGTTAAAAAGAGACATTCAGTTGTAATTGAGGAGATTAATGAAGATGATGTGGATGGGTTAGAATATAGTCAGGTTACTGAAGTCCTCAAGATAGATTACTCTAATAGAAAAAATTTGCTAGAGTATTCTGAAGTCAATGCAAGTGGTGATGTTGTAGGAGAAGAATAGAGGGTCAATGGAGGAGAAGAATAAAGAATCAATGGAAAAGTATAGAGAGTCAATGAAGGAGAAGAACATAGAGTCCATGGAGAATAACAGAGAGTCAATGGAGGAGAAGAATAGAGAATTAATGGAGGAGAGGACCAGAGAGTCAATGAAGGAGAAGACCAGAGATTCAATGGAACAGAGAATGACATGCCTCAGGAGAGAACTAGGGCGTCAATGGAAAATGACACACCTCAGGAGAGAACCAGGGAGTCAATCAGGGATAGTGACAGTTCTAATTATTCTGAGTTATATAATAGTGAATATGATCTTGACGAGGATGACAAATTGTATGAGATAAACGTGGATAAAGATGTTGAATGGGCTGGTGTGGGTGATAAGGGTAAGGGTGTAAAGGATGGTACTTCAGCTTTTCATGGTACAAATGAAGATGATGTGCATTCTGACTATGCAGATTCAGATGAATTATGTAGTTTTGATGATTCATCTTCAGAGGATGATGGTGTCAAGGTGAGGAAGCCCAAGTTCCCTGAGTTTAGAGTTACCACTGACATAAAAAACCCATCTTTCAAGCTAGGAATGTTATTTGGAACAACTACTAAGTTGAAAGTAGTAGTAAGAGAATATGCAATTAAGGAGGGAAAACAAATAATATTCAAGAAAAATGACCATTTTAGGGTTAGGGCAGTCTGTAAAGGGAAATGTGAGTGGTTGGTATTTGCATCTGTCATGAAAGATGGGAAAACATTCCAAATTAAAACATTCAATGACAAACACACATGGAATATCATTTCACAACAAGAATGCAAACTCCACTTGGATTGCTAATACATATGTGGATCAAATTAAGGGGAGTCATGCATGCCCAGTGGATGCCTTTATAGAAAGGATAATGAAAGATCACCAAATTACTGTAACACCTCATCAGATTTACAGGACAAAACGAAAGGCAAAGATAATGATTGAAGGTAGCCATACAGAGCAGTACTCCAAATTATTTGAGTATGTTGAGAAGTTGATGAGGACTAATCCAAACAGTACAATAGCTATAAAATTAGATAATTTGTCAGAGTTGGAAGGTGAGCCTTCTAAACCTCCACATTCTTATCTTTATATAACAACGTAATAATTTTTGAAATATTAATATATGTAATGATGTATGCATGAACTATGTAGATTTTCAGAGTAAAAATAAAAATGTTAGACGAGGTAACAGGGTATGTATTAGAAGTTAGGAAATATTTCGGAGTTCAAATACATTTTAGATAAAATTTGGGTAGAAAGGATTTTGGACACTGCTTATTATTTGGACCATAAATTTTTATCTTGATGTCCGTTTGTGCTGAAATTTTTACAATAGATAATATACTTTCAGGGTTACAAAAGTGTATTTCACGAAAATTTTTCATATCGACTTTTAAATAAGCCAAAACTTCACTGAAAGTTTCAGCAGAAACAAGAAGTTCGTTTGAACGTGAATGTCCGTTCAAATGACAGTTCATCCCAATACTTTCTTCCTGATGGAAAAACAAAACTATTGGGAGCAAATGACGTTCGAACGTGAGTTACGAAATCTAGGTTTTAAAATCACGCATAGAAGACTATTTCTTCCACTATAAATACTTAAGGATACCTTCATTAGCCCCATTTCAACATTTATAACCTAGAGAGGCTTAGAGAGAAAGAAATAAGGAGAAAAACACAAGATCAAGAGAGATTTTCATATTGAAGAGAATCAAAGCTTCTAGTTTTTCAAGAACACCAAGGAAGAAGAAAGGTAGGGGTTTGATTCCACTCTTGTCCATTGAGACGAGGGTTTATATCTATGTATGTTTTGCTTCAAAATCTTAGATATATGTTACAATATCCTTGTTTCTTGATGTTCTTGCAAACCTTCTCAGGTTTTGAGTGAAGTTATGGGTCGAAAGCCATAAAAACCCTTGTTTGACATCAAAACTTAGTTTTTCAAGAGAAATTGATTTTTCTCTTGATTTTTTTTTGTTTTTGATTTAAAAACTCTAGTGTTTGGTATTGAACAATAAAATGGTATTTTTGATAATCTCTTGCATATTTTTTAAATTGTTCTATTGGAATAATACATGTGAAATTTGGAGATTTTGAATTTTACCAAGGATTGGAGAAATTAGTTGGATATTGTATTTCTTGTGGATGTTTGGATGATCATGGGTGACCGTTGATTGGGTATCGTAGAGTGGGTAGATGTGTTTCTTACTCCGCGAAGGTTTGAATTTTTCCTACCACTTGTAGTAGGGTTGGTACCTTGCGACGACCAAACTACTATTCACTCACGTGGTACCGAGACTGAGGGTTAATATATTATTCCTAGGTTGGATTCGTCACTGTCAATGCGTTAGTATACGCCCTTCCTAAAGTTGAATTTCCTTGTGAGGATTGTGTGTGTGTGGATGTGGGCCAAGATATTCTCGATGTGTTTATTCATGCAATGTCATGTATCATACCTAAGATACAAGTTATGGTTTGATATACATTATGGGCTATTGTTTATTGTACTAATAGTTGGTTATGGTTTATTGTGAAAAGGAGTTTATGGTGGAATTAGTTTGTTGTGAAATTGGTTATTGTGGAAATAGTAACTTGTTGGGAATTTGTTTTACTTTTTCATTTAATTATTGCTATTGTGTAAACTTGAGATCCATTGAATTGTCTATATTTTCCTTCAAAAGCTATATATGATATTTGTAAAATGAGACCGACCGTTTTATATACTTTTAAAACCTTACTCAAGTTTGGGAGGATTTTCTTACAGAGTTTAGTACTCACCCCCTATAACCAATATCTTTTTCAGATTATGGTCTAGAGGAGAAGCTCGAAGTTGATGAGTCAATACATTGGGAAGCTCCAATAGATGGGAACGTGGATCCTAAGGTGGACGTTTAGAGCTATATTCTCTTATGTTCTAGATTAAGAAATTCATTTTATGACAATGTGAAGTCTAATATTTTTGTTATTCTGCTACAAGATAATAGTTAATTTTTGGGATGTAATTGTCAAAATTTGACATATTCTTTTGGATGATATTGTATATATTGTAAATAATTAATGAAATTCTCTTTAGTTATGAAGTTCATTTAGTTGCTCTCATAATGTGAATGATTTTAGATAGTAATGCTGTCCAAGGGAGATTAATGTATAGTTGTTTACATGCACTGAAGAAGGGTGTCAAGGAGACATGCAGACCAATATTGTGTTTGGATGGTTGCCATTTAAAAGGTCCTCATGGTGGCCAGCTTCTCTCAGCAGTGGGACTAGATGCCAACAACAATATGTTCCCAATAGCATGGTGTGTGGTAGAGATGGAAGGAACAAACACATGGTCATGGTTTTCTAAACCTTCTGGTACAAGACCTTCAAGTAAGAAACACAATTGGATGAACTATAATGTCTGATAAGCAAAAGGTACATTTACTGTTATTTTTTTTTAATCTAGTCTACATTAAATACTATTATTGAACTGAATTATATATGATATTTTGTATATAGGGGCTAGAACATGCAATTTATGAACTGCTTCCAAATGTTGAACATAGGCATTGTGTTAGACATTTATACAACAATTTCAACCAAAAGCACAAGGGTAAAACACTTAAGGATTTAGTTTGGGCTGCTACAAGATCAAGTTATGTAAACTTGTTTAAAGTGAATATGGAAAAAATGAAAGCTGGAGATGCAGAGGCATGTGCATGGTTTGATGATTAACATCCAAGGAATTGGTCTAAGTCCCATTTTAGCACACATCCTAAATGTGACATATTACTTAACAATATGTGTGACTGCTTTAATGCTTATATACTTGGGTTTAGAAACAAACCAATCATATCAATGTTGGAGATAATTAGAGGTCTCCTTATGAAGAGATTATATATGAAAAGAAATGCAATGGCAAAGTGGGAAGGTGAAATATGTCCTAAAATTCAAGAAATTCTAGAGAAAAACAAGAAAGAACTTCTTTTTGCATAGCATATTATTTTGGGGGTTCTAAATTTGAAGTTAGACATTGTTATGGTGATTAGTTTGTTGTGGACTTGGATGCCCAAACATGTGTAGGGAAAAAAATGGGATTTGACTAGCATTCCTTGTTCTCATGCCATTCAGGCTATTACATATAATGGAGATGAACCTGAGAAATATGTTCATAAGTGGTATCACAAAGAGACGTATATGAAGGCTTATGGGAACAATATTAATCCCATTAATGGGCAGAATTTATGGCCTACATGCACTAAGACTCCCCTTTTACCTCCATTTTACCATAAACAGCCTAGGAGGCCAAAGACACTAAGAAAGGAACCAGAGGAACGAACCAATTCAAATCCAAATAAGTTGAGAAAGTTTCAGAATTCTTTAAGGTGTGGAAAATGTGGTATGAGGGGACATAATAAGAGAAGTTGTAGAGTTGCTATGATAAATCCAGCCATAGGTTCTGGGACAGGTGTAGGGGCAAGTGTTGAGGCTGGTACAGGGGCTGCTGCTGCAACTGTTGCCTGCTGCTGCAATTGTTGGAACAAGTGCAAGGATTGCTGGTGCAACTGTTAAAGTAAGAAGAAAGAGAGCCAACAAGGTGCAGGAACAATGTCCAGTGGAGTGACTACTGCAGGAGCAAACACAGATGGAATGATTGGTCTAGGAGCTGGTGCAACCAATGTTTCAAGTAGGAGAGGTCAGTTGGCTATGAGGAGGAACAAAATGAATGCACCAACCACAACACAAGTCTCACATTCTACAGGAGGAGTTCAGTGACTATTGATGGAATCCAAGAACTATTTTGTTAGGGTTTAATGTTCCCTCTTTTGATAGTACCATCCTTTTGGTAGTGAACATGTTGAATGTAATAGGCTCTTGTTGTTCCCTATTTTATGTACTGGCTAATGATAGTAGCATCCTTTTGGAAGTGAACATGTTGAATGTAATATGTTCTTTTTGTCACTTAATAGGTTGTGTCCTCAATGCTATGATAAATATTATGGTGTTTGTCAGATACACTTTCTACATTAACATTATGTTGTTTGTCGGATACACTTTCTAAATATTATAGTGTTTGTCGGATACACTTTCTATATTATGGTGTTTGTCGAATATATTTGATAACAAAACAAAGTTAGGGGACAAGCAACAAAATAAATATTAATTTACAACTTGCCAATAAGATACACTTTCTACATTAACAAAGTACAAAACTAGCATCTTAGCAACTACAACACCCATAACCAGCTGCTTCATTTTACAATTGCATCTGACCAAGTATGTAGAAGCAAGTGAATACAAGCAACAACATCCAAGTGAGTACAAGCAAATGAGTACAACAACTTCATTTTGTTAACATCCATAACCAAGTAAGTACAAGCAACAACCACACAACTTTCTCTCTCTGTTGAGATCTTGTTAGCTTCCCTTCTAGCAGTGTGATTTTCCTGAGTAATCTTGGTATGATATTCTTCGATCGCATACACATAAGAGGATCATGCCACGCAAAATACCCACATCCCCCATTTCACTACATATTCCAACAAAAACAGTTTAAACAAAATTGTTGTTAACTTTCATATAATACAATTTCATAAAATTTACCTCATTTCTCTCACATCCAAGGAATCTTCTTCTTGGATTTAAATATGTCTAAGACGTTAACATTCGAGTCTTTCTCCCACACTTTTAGTACGTCTGATCCATATGGACCTTGGGATAAAACTTGGCTTCGTTCAATGATGAAGCTTGGATTGACTTGCAACTTGTCTTCGTTCTATGATGAAGCTTGCGCTGGTTCGCCCCCATTGAAAGTTGCCTCTATCAAACATAAATTAGGATTCCTTAATCAGATATATAATGGGAGAGAAGGTGGTTGAATGGCCGGGAAAATAAGGAGAAAAGACAGTGATTTCCTTCTATCTTCTACACGTGTTGTGCCCGTTTTTTGTCAGAGATTTGGACGACAGTTAGGGAGAAGGACAATTTTGGTTCAAAACCCAAATTTTGAGGACTAAATTGACTAAATTGGAACTTTAGAGACTAAAGTTTAATAAGTGGTAAATTTCAGGGACTATTAGTGCAATTAACCCGTTGAATAAATTATACGGACACCCTTTTAGATTTCCTAAAATACACGCCATCCCTTATAGTTTGAAAACTATTTAAAAAAACCTATGTCAAAAATGTCAGTTTATGTTAGTAAACAAAATAGGTGAGACGACATTCTTCCCCTATTCATATCTATCAAACTTCTTCACCCCCACCCCCACCCCACCATGCCCAGTGTGGTAGGTACCCTCCTCTGGTCGCAACCCCACTCCCTCCGTTTTTACTATGGTAACACATTTATGTCTGTGTATGTGTGTTTGTTTTTGTGTGTGGTTGCATGTGTATATATATGTAAACCCTCTACATGTATAGTCCCCAATAGCTGTTTTTTGTGCTCTTGTGACCTCTCCTGAAATGCACTTTTTTGAGAAGCATGAATTTTCAGGCTGGGAGAAAAAGAAGAGTAAAGTGATGATTACAAATACACAAATGACGAAACAAATGAGCCAGGCAATGCCCTCTTGGCCTCACTAAACACCACTGACATGAATTCTTCACTAACATTTAGAACGAAGGGAATAAACTGAGTTCAAGTCTCTTTGACTGCATATAGCTTGAACTAAGCTATGAAAACGTTATTTCCCAAAGTGTAGTAGAAAGCATTGTTGTAACCACTTCGATGCTATGGCTAACATGGGAGATGGTTCTGCAAAGCAGTGGAAGACATGCAATTCAATCTGTTCATCGCTTGAATGAACGAGACAAAAGGTTGGCCTAAGAATTTTTTACCATCGTAAGGCAATTTTTAAACTTTATGCTTTCAAGAAGTTGATATCTAAATTTTTTCTTAATTTATCGTTGTTTACATGAATCTGTAGTTTAAACTAAAGTTTTTGAATTCAACGTTAAAGCGTGTTTTCAAAGAACGCTTTCAAGGTTTTTTATACAAAACAACCATTCAGGTCTGAGTTTTGCATGTAGAATTTAACTCCATAAATCAATGCTCTAAATTACTCAATCCTGAAATGCACAAAACATATTCAACCCCAGAAAACAAACGTAACTAGTAACAGTGTTTCAAAAAATCAAGAGAACACACTATAATCGGTTATGAATGTACAAATGTTTTGCCACTTGGTTTGATAGCTCAGAACTAGTCAATAAGACAAGCCTGGATGTTTTGTTTCTGCTGTCCTTTGTAGCAATAATTTGGAAGAAAATAAAAAAAAATTAAAGTTCAATGGCAGCATTTATGGTACACAACCGGATTGCTCGAGTCATTACAAATTGCCCTGCCCACCACGGAGTTGAGCCCTTTCAATAGCAGCATTTGCATCACATGAGAGTGAAGCTTTATGAAAACGAAACTTTAGGGAGAAGCAGATGCATCGTCAATGTATAGACCTAAAACCCACAAGGAATGTACTCCAGTATTCAGTAGAAAGAAAATCCTATTCAAAAACCATCACCTTATCACCATTCAATTTACACACAATAATGACTTCATCACTCGAATGAAAACTTATCATTGCTGCATTGATACTACTAGGAATGTGGGCTTCTCAGGCCACATCCCGAACACTACCTGAAGCATCCATTTCAGAGAGACATGAGCAATGGATGGCTCGTCATGGACGTGTTTACAAGGATATTGCAGAGAAGGAAAGGCTTTTTACGATATTCAAGGACAATGTAGAGTTCATAGAATCTTTCAACAAAGTTGGGAATCGACCTTAAAAGTTGAGCATCAATGAATTTGCAGACCAGACAAATGAGGAGTTTAAGGCCTCTCGCAATGGATACAAGATGCCATCCAATCCAAAGGCAAATGAAAGCTACATCGTTCAAGTATGAAAATGTGACTGTAGTACCAGCTAGCATGGACTGGAGGAAGAAAGGAGCTGTTACACCTATTAAGGATCAAGGTCAATGTGGTAAGGAATCCTCTTTTATAAACTTCACCATGTGCAGCTACACTTTTCAAATCCATGAATTGTTTTTTCTCACCAGTGCAATTCTATCAACAGGAAGTTGCAGGGCATTTTCAACGATAGCAGCCACAGAAGGGATTACATTACTTACAACTGGTAAATTGATCTCACTGTCCGAGCAGGAACTAGTGGACTGTGATAGAAGTGGTGAAGATGAAGGATGTGAGGGTGGCTACATTGAAGATGGGTTCAAATTTATCGTCAAAAGCAAAGGCATTGCCACTGAAGCAATTTATCCATATCAAGCAACCGATGGAACCTGCAACACTAAGGAAGAAGCTTCCCATGCTGCCAAGATCAAGGGTTATGAGAATGTGCCTATCAATAGTCAGAAGGCACTGCTGAAGGCCGTGGCCAATCAACCAGTTTCAGTTTCCATTGATGCAAGCGGAGCTGCGTTCCAGTTTTACTCAAGCGGGGTTTTCACAGGAGATTGTGGAACCGATCTAGACCATGGTGTTATGGCAGTTGGATATGGAACAACTGCTGATGGCACCAAGTATTGGTTAGTCAAGAATTCATGCGGCACCACTTCGGGAGACAAAGGGTACATCATGATACAAAGAGATATTGGTGCCAAAGAAGGCCTTTGTGGGATTGCCATGGATTCTTCCTATCCAATAGCTTAGATATTACCACATGACTTGTGAATCTTCAATCTAATATGGTACTAAATGGTCTTGGCCAAATCTACTTGTGCAAGTGTGCTGTGCATTATGTGCATTATGTGCATTATGTGAATCTTCAATTTAGCATTATGTGCAATGCAGTTCTTATGTGTATAAAATTAAGTAATGAATTTTAAGTATCCGTAGAACATATGGTTAAATGTATTTCTTTTGGGTTAATGAGCTTACTAACTTTACCCAAAAAAGAAGAAGAAAACTGCTCAGAACAGTCTAGGTCTTTGATATTAGGCTCCAAGTTCCAAGCAAAATTCAACTAGGCCCCATGAACTGAGATAGCTCATACAGGAAAAGGTGTAAACATGACCAAGATGAGATGGATGTCCACACCAGGCAACTCTAGCTGGTTGATTTCCTTATGTTTACATTATGAAGCATTTCAAACAGTTCAACCCTCTACTGCATAATATAAGTCATAAATCTGATAAATCCCTCTTGACAATAGAGAATCATTTCGAAATCACGCAGAACAAAGGGTAGCAATTAACTGTTTTATCACTTTATCCTTCATTTCAATTTCAAATAAATTATATTCACTTCTCTTGGGAATTATTGAAAATAACTTTATCTTCTATACCTATTAAAATTTCAAAAACCCAAAAAAAAAAAAAAACCCTGTAAGAGCTTTCCAGTTGATATGGTTAAACAAAATGTCTCCACTTCCCTAGATCTTTTGTGTTTTACATGACTCGTTCCCCCCCCCCCTCTCTCTCCCCCAGCCTCCACACAATCATCATTGGTGTCCCTTCCACTAAACCACCACCCCTCGGATTAGCCACCCCCCCCCCCCCTTACTGCAACACTCTTCCTCCTCCAGTCTTACACCCTTCAAGTCCCATTCCCTTGCCCCACTCCCCGTAACTCAATCATCGTTGGCACCACCCCCTCCAATGCCAACCCCTTGAACTCCCAGGTCGCAACCCCACTCCCTCTATACATGTACATATGTACACCCTGTTTCCTGACAACTTGGACCTGTGCCCAACTCTCTCTCTCTCTCTCTCTCTCTCTTTTATATATATATATATATATATATATATATATGCACATCAATCACAAATATATATATTGAGTATTTATCCCTCCCTCTCTACACATGTAGAGTATTAATTCCATAAATCAATGATGTAAATTACACAGTAAGGAAATAAAATGCCAATGGCCACAATACATATCCAACGCACATAGTAAGCTTAACTCGTGGCAGTGCTCAAAACTATCAAGAAGACAAGATAACATCAATTGAGATTTTAGACATGTTTTGTCACTTGGTTTGAAGGGGCACTTTGCAGGGTATACTACCAGTACACTTAATTTACTAAAGGACTTGCATGCTATGGAACTAGGTCAAAATATCTAACTAATTGCTTCAGAAATCAACTCAAATGTTGAACACATTCCATCATTTTGATAAAGTGTGCAATTCTTATCGACAAAACACCCATATGTTATTGCAACAAGCAAAACAAGAACTTTTTCTAACCGCCATTCATTTAATTTCTTCAATCAACTGAACTGATATCCAAACGTGGGCATAATCATGAGCAACAAAGATACCATCAAACAAAGTCAGAAAGACAACGCATTGAAAAAAATATTGGCATAATAAACGATTACGACTGAGTGGTCTTGGGCAGCTGTGGAGGAGAAGAAACAGCAGTTTCAGCAACAGCATCATCCGTGACGAGAGTCCACTCAGGAGGAAGCGGAGGAAGAGGAGGGTAAACGGTGGGCCCACGTCGAATGTCCCAAGCCTGAGACTTGCGGGTCGAGTCTTCATGTGGTGTTTCGTTGCCTTCTTCTGTGGCCGCGATGAGGACTCTATCACTACCCTGACGCCACCAACGCCGCCGCCCACTCCTGGTGCCACCTTGGTCGCACCACCGCCGACACTGGACGAGGAGAGAGAAGAATGGATAGGCACCACCACCATTCTCGAGCAAATTAGAGCTGAAACTGACATTTTTCTTCGCAAGAGCCGTTTGAGCCTCCCACTCTTCGAGTGCGAAGATAAAATAGCAAGTGTTTGGACTCAGAAAGATAAGGGGTGGTGGAGTTGGTGGTGGTGGTTCGCCTGGGTCGCATATATGAAGTTAGGGCTACCAAAAAAGTCAGCCCAATTGACGTGGCAAAAATGTCAGTTAATCTGACTTTTTTTTTGGATTAAAAACGCAAAATCAAATAACGTTTTTAAAAAGACTTGAATTTGAAAAATGGTCAAAAGCTCTGGCAGAGTCAAACCCATCTAATTTTCGCCTTTTTTTTGTTGTACATCAGCTATTTGATTTTGTGCCTAGCTGAAGAGTGATACTCCCTGATTGAAGGCACTGAACTGGATGAACTCCAACACCCAGATCGAATAATGGAAGCATGGGTTTTGTTTTGAGAGTTTGAACTGCTTTGTCACTACTCACTAGTCAGATTCTATTCGTAGCTGAAGATCGTTATCTGGAAATTGAAGCTTCTGAACAGGATTAATACGCATGAATTTGTTTGAGGGTTTGAAGCTCTTTGTTTGACTCAACTTCGAAGTAGGAGGTATCAGTGGTGCAATGCTGTGCGTGGGTTTTCAGGTGATGGGTATTGTTAAGGGTAGAAATCGCGCGTTCGGATCTCATTTTTGAACTCAAGAATTTCGGCTTGATCTGGTTAACTCATTGGACAACCCCAGCAGCCTTTACCCCTTTTCGCCCGCAGGAGCTTCGTCCCACATTGGAAGAGAGTGGTCTCCCCCCTCGCATATAAGTCCTTGCACTCAAAGGAGGAGGTACTCACTAGCGACCTGATCAAGTGTTAGCCTTTTTGTTAGGGGTAGAATGCGAGGGGGGTAGACGACTCTCTTTCGATGTTGGACGAAACTCCTGCGAGAAGCAAAGGCTATTGGGTGGTCGCTTTGGCACACGCCAGGTCAGTCGAAATCCTTTCGGAGGGACACAATCTTGTCCACCTTAAGGCGCCTTTTTGTAAGAGGTAGAAATCGCTACGGATCTCATCCCTCCACTCGAAGGATTCCGGCTGACCTGACTTGTGTCAAAGCGACCACCCAGAAGCTTTTACCTCTCTTCGCCAATAGGACTCTTTAGCTAAGGCAATCCCACATCGGAAGAGAGTCGTCTTCCCCTCAAGTGGCTAGTGGGTACCTCCTCCTTTGAGTGCAAGGGCTTATATGCGAGGGGGGAAGACGACTTTCTTCCGATGTGGAATTGCCTTAGCTAAAGGGTCCTATTGGCGAAGAGAGGTAAAAGTTACTGGTTGGTCGCTTTGGCACAAGCCAGGTACAGGTATTAATTGCAGTGAAGTAAGTTCATAGGTCATGGTCCTAAGTGGAAATTTTGCCAACAATGTCTGCACTCAGCTTTCACTCTATAGACAGGCCTGGTGGGCATATGCAATATATAATTGAAGCCAACTCAACACCAAAGTGTGACATTGGCTTCCTACAGAAACAATGTCATTCCTATAGATGCTTTACTCAAGACCTCGTTTGAGTGTTCAACCAGGTGTAAATGATTCTGTTGGGGCTTAGGCAGCACAAACCTTGCACAAGTAAGGTTACTTGAAGGTGTATCGGATGTCACATATTCAAATTATAGAAATACTTTTGTGTGTGCAAGATCCTGCACAATATAAAAACGAGAACAGATCTCTCCCTTGGTGAACTCGAGTGAGCCAGTTGAGTGACCAACCACGCTGCTTGGAACAGCCTGCGAGGTCCGGTGGTAACCTGGAATGGCAACGGGAGACCTTGGGGGAGCGGAAGAATGATCCAGTAAGGCTGAAAGAGGTTCCTGAAACAAAGAAGAACAAGTTAGAAGGGCGCCGGAGTGTTTTTCGGCGTATCCCCTCCGACGATCTAGTCAGTCTTTGAGAAAGAGAGAGGAAGGAGAAAACACTGAGTGTGTATTGTAGTAAAGAGTTTTTTGTTGCATCCCCGTCTTGCCTTTTGCAAGGAGTAGTTATACCTCAAAAGCTCATGATTGCTGTCAGTGTAGTCAGTAGGTGATCATTAGGTACAGGCAGTGTGCGCACTGATTTTGATGAGGAATGTCTTCTCTTCTTAACTGCTCGGGGTCCCTAGCAATCAATGTTGTGTCATCGAGATGCCGACGGTACAATGTACTCCTCTCGGGGAGGAGGCAATAAATGCACTGTATTAGGAGCATTTATTGTCTTTCATTTCCGAGCCTTACCACATTGAATGCGGTCTCATCAAGGGAATGATATAATTAATAGTTTGCTTTCCCAAGCCGCGTGTCAGCAACGGCATGCAGTTTTCTCTATCTTCGATGTGATATCATACGCCACGCGTCCATCCCCTATTGGCTGTGACCCCTACATTCCAGTACGTTCTGACACTAACTGTGTAAGACGAGGTCATGATGAATAGCCTAGACTAGCCTAGGCTAATGACCTGTACGTCAATAGCTTATCCTGGATTAGAGGAGGCGTCCAGGACAGGGTACACCTCGGCACCGAGGAAAGGCTCATCTCGGAACCGAGGGAGGGATACCGACCGAGGCACCATATCATACCGAGGTCACGTGTCGGTTGTAAAACGTACTGAATGCCATGATCCTATATGATGAGTACCTCGGGGGCGAGAACCTTTATGCGTCGATGGTGCTTGATCTTATCAACAGTGTTTTAGTAATACCGATGACACGTGTCTTCATCATAGAGTATTTCAGAAAAGTCTCATCAACTTTCTTGCCGTGTAATGATAGAACATCATACATTTAGTCATCTCCGGACTTTGTAATGCCTAAAGTGTTGTGTATTGCATCGTCCTAATGAAAAAAATCAAAGTAAAAATGAATTTTGGATCGAGTATTTGAAAGTGGTATTGAATGTGCCTTCAACTTAGCTCATTAAAAAAACACAATCCATGTTTGAATGCCCTTAAAATCCTGTTGGGTTTGGTATTGGTGGTAGTGGAGCATGAGAATGGAATGTCTATTACTAAGTATATCCATTCCAATGTTTAGTATGTAGTAGTAGAAATTATTTTCATTTTCAGTAATGCTTTGTTTGGTTGGGAGGATGAAAAGTAAAAAGGATAGAAAGTAGAAGCGATACATTTTTCTTCATTTGTGTTTGATTGGATAAATGGAAAAAAAATGACTATTTTTTTTTTGTGATGGCTAAGATTAAAAGTGACAATCGAGTTGTGTCACGTCAGATTCGTGTTGAGTCATTACGGATTTGTGTCAAACATAACTTAACTCATTTAACTAATTGTGTCGTGGCGAATTGTCAGTTGACTTGTTTATTTTCATATCGAGTTCGAGTCGTGTCATCGTGTTGAATCGAAAATTTTCACCCTTAGTTAAGATGAAATTTTTTTTTTTAATTTAAATTGTTTATTTTTTTTTTTGTTATTTTGTTATATATATATATTAAAAAAAAATATTTTTATTTTATTATTGTATTTTTATATGAAATTAATATATACATAATATATGTATATATAAAAAAATATATAGACAAATAAGATACTTATCAACACAAGTAATTAACTTTTCATCCACTTTTCTTCCGATTTTGGAGGGATTGATTTTGGTGAGTTGGAAGGAAAGTCCATCCACTTTTCCATCCTTCCTACTTTCCTTCATTACCAAACATGATGTGTTTATTTATCCCTCTAACTTTTCATCCTTCTAACTTTTCATTATTCTATTTTTCTATCGTACCAAACAGAGCATAAGTAAAAATTATTTTTATTACTATTGCTTATTCCCACCATTGTAAGATTTATTAACAACTACTACTACTCACTGCCATCATGGGGATGGGGTTAGGCAAAGGTCCAAGACTGTTTAGGTACAGGGTTGGGTCCCGGATTGTTGTTTTGGATTATGTTTGTGTTCAGGTCCAGGATCGAGTCTGGGTCTAGGCTTGGGTCCGGACTAGGGCCAGGGTTTTGGGTTGTGTTTGTGTCCGAGTTCAAGGTTGAGTCTGGGGTTAAATCCTGGCCTGTTTAAGGAATGAAATCTCACATTGGGGGATCAGAAATAGCTATATTATTTTAAAGATAAATTACACTTTAATTCCTTAATTATGGACTTGATTTCACTTTGCCCCTTAAACAACTAAAATTTTCACATTGCTCCCTCAACTAATTGAATTATTTCTCATTCTCCTAAACACAAAATGTCTGATATCTTTTTAGACGAAAATTGCTCATAAGTCAGGATAAAGTGAACAAAAAAAAAATCACACAATATAAAAGGAGGAATATGAAAAAGGTTGATTCATTAAAATATTTGAATGAATTTTTAATTTGATTCCAGAATTTATTCTTTGATAATGTATATTTCATTATTAAGTTCATTTTATTCTTATGTTCATTCACATGCTATCGAATCCCATTAAAATTTACGAATAGAGTTCGGTTGAACGTAACCCAACGAGGTCTTGTTCTTTAATAGCAGTCCCTTGCCCAGCTAGGTCAAGGTACCATGCCTTCTCCTTGACAATGGAGATAACTTCGAATGATGAGAAAATGCGATACCTATTTTTAATGGTAAATGTTGTAAGCTCCAACTTTGCGAACAATATAAGAATATTACCATTTAAAAACTCAACGTTACTTACCTTCCAAGACCAAACAATGCAGCAACAAATAAAACAATAAAAAAACCATAATCAAATCAAAATTTACGAAAAAAACCATATACGAAAAGAACAAAAAAACAATGGCCTAATACAACATAGAAAAGAGAAATCATAAGATTATCTCATAGACTTTTCAACTCATCTCATCACAAGATCACCACCTCTAGGTATTAATGTATCATTTTGCACCCAAAATTTTCCATTTTTCTTTAGATTTTTTTTGAGGCAAATCAAGGAGAATAAACAAAAAAGAAAAGAAAAAAAAAAGAGAAACTCACAAAAAAGAGGAAAAAATATTCATTGCAACGGTCATACCACGTCCGTATTGACATGTGGTATCATCTATATAATAAAGTAGCTTACAATTCAAATCTCAAAAGATAAAAAAAATGACTTTTACTATTCACGATTGAGATCACTTTAAATTTTACTTTAAAATTAATCTAACGACTAATATTAACACTCTAAATTTAATAGGAAAAATAGGTCCCCTAAGGTACTTGTAGAAATTATTTTTCATAAATACTTAAAAAAAAAATAGTGTTTGAAACCGCTTCACTATTGCCTCTACCACCATCACCATTACCCGCCGCTACCACCACCACCCGCCGTTGCCACCACTAACGCCATCATCACCGTCGTCGCCACCACCATAACCACCGTCGCTGTCGCCACCACCACCACGATCATTGTCACCCACCACAACCATTGCCGTCTCTTACCACTACCACTGTCGCCCGCCACCTCTCACCTCTACTACAAACTGATGCTTAAATTTCTTTATCTTTTTTCTATATTTGTAATTTAATTTTAGATCTAAATACAAATATGTTTATTATTTACCATTTTTTATTCCTATGTGTTTTTAGAAAGTTATAATCAAGGTACTAAACTCTCAACTAACCGAGATCTTCTCCCCAAAATCAAGGAAGATGCGGTGTATGGAAGGCAAAAATCTTGTTGCAGATCTCGTAAAGTTAGGAATTAGACTATAAATATTGTACAGAGCGTCCCATGCGGGGCAAAAAATCCCGGTGGTATGAGAAACACTTTGTAAATCAGTTAGATTATTATTACATATCTAAGGAGCAAGAGACTTTATTAAATAGTGGATTAGTTGAGCTCCCGAACCGGTAAACTACTATAATTTCATTGTGCAAATCATCCTAATTCCCAAAGAATTTTTACTGTAATCCTCTCAAACTTAGAAGCTCTGATCTAGCCTTATTCGCATGATTCATTAATTCTGTTCATCCATGTAATTAACACTATCAAGGTATAAACAGTAACTAGTTCATCAATAATATACAGATAAATAAAAAAATAAATTCCACACAAATTAATAATTATCTGTCAATTTAATAACTATTGTCGACATGATATCACTCTTAGTATTAAAATGGTGACATGTTGTATCAAGGGCGGCCTAACAAATTTGAAGACCCTAAGCAAGAATATGAAGTGGGCCCTATTAATAGGCAACAATTATTAAAATATATTTATTTAAAAGCTATTTTTCTAGTTTTTTGAGATGCAAAAATATTGATTAAATTTTTATATTCAAGTTTTGTTAATAGATATTTTTCAATAAATAATATAGGTAATAAATTTAATCTTTCTTGTGACATAGTTGATCGGAGATAAGATTTTATTAATTTAAGTTTTGAAAAACTTCTCTCTGTTGAAACAATTTTTACCAATATTGTTAACAATATTCTAAAAGTTACACATGCATTTCGAAAAGAATCTATTCTTTTTATATAAGTTAGAGTTTCGACAGTCAACTATCAAGATTCAAACATTTAAGTTTATGTCAAAAAAGGAGACATTCTAAATCAACAACAATATCAACAAAAATGAAATCAACATATTTAAAATTCTAAGCACATCAAATTTCTAATTTTTTTTTTATAAAATTTCTAATAAAAATTGATAGAGCAATTGAACAAACTAGTTTAGTATAGTAGTTTAAGCCCAAAAAAATTTGACCCTTGAATCTTGATCACTATCAATTAATTGATAGGTTTTTGAACTACAAGAGATTAGAGAATATAGAGTTTTGATGTTCTTTCTTTGTTCAGATTCAAACTTCACACTTCACATAAAGAGAGATAGGGAGAAAGAGAGAGAGAAGGTATAAGGTCGTGACGTTAAACAAACATTGTGATTTGTGAGTGAATCCTGTAATAATAGTAGTTAATAAATTTGTGCGAGAGAGGCAGAGTGATATAGAGAGATTTGCTTAATTCTCATCCTTCATAGATATGAGAGAGAGATCTAGTCGTCTATCTTTCTTGTTTTAGAAGTCTAGCAGTCTACTATAACTGACAAGTAAAGCAATTTTCTAAATAAATTATTAAGTATTAATAAATTTATCAATAAAATTTGAATCCTCTTAAATCGGTTCATAAAAAATATATGTACCCATAACTAAAACCCGTAAAAAAAAATCTAAAATTTTGCAAAAATTGGAGGCCGTTGGCAGCCAACTAAGTGGCTAGGCCTGGGGCCGGCCCTGTGTTGTATTGAATGTTCGCTCACAAAAGAGAGGGAGAGAGAGGATAGGGAGTTGATAGTCATTTTAAAGGCATGTGAGGATGGATATACCGTAACTCACCAACTCACCAGAAAAACGACACAATGGAATAGAATAGTTTCCAGAACACAGTGGTTCGTTGGCTGTTTTGGATATTGTATGGTCCGAAACCAATGGCTACCACCACTCCCAAGATAACCAACGGCCTAGCTCTCGGTATCGGAAGTACTGTTAATTCCCACCGAGCAGCATCTATGGCCACTTCTTCTCTCTCCTACGCCCTTCCCACTTTCCTACTCAAAGGCTGGTTGTCTCGGCGGCGGGCGGTTCGTTTTGACTCACTTGTTGGCGGTCGATTAACTCGCCACCGTGTCAATTCTTCGGTGGTTCGAGTTAGAGCCACGGCTGCTTCCGAGGAGCAGCCTAGCTCTTCAGGTCACACTTCAACTCCCCCTCTGTGTGTGTGGAATTCGATTTAGTGCTTATGTTGTTCGATTCTATGTGATTCTTCTTTGCAGAATTTAGGTTGAAAATTTGTTCTGTTCGCTCTTTCTCTCACTCTTCATTGCATGGTGTCTACTTTTAGGATTAGAGAGGCATTGGAAAATCAACTGGATTTCAATTATTTGTTCGCCTTAATTAATTGTTGAGAGCAATTACACGAGGAGATCGAAGGAGTTTTTAAGGTTTTAAGTGATTTAGAACCAGCTCAGCTGGTTGCAGAATTTGGAGAAATAAATAGCAAGGAAGGAGGCACTCTGAAATTCGATTTAGCTAGCATTTGATCCAACAAGTTTAAGCTAGCATTTGATCCAAGATTCATTTGCTTTAAATGAGGCTGTGTAATTTTTCCCCAAACATGCATTTATTTTTGCCCCCTTCTTGCAGCTCCAGCTGTTGAGAACTTGGTAATCATAGGCTCAGGTCCTGCTGGATACACAGCAGCAATTTATGCAGCTCGAGCCAACTTGAAGCCTGTAGTATTTGAGGGATATCAAGTAGGAGGTGTTCCGGGTGGACAATTGATGACTACCACTGAAGTGGAGAACTTTCCAGGGTTCCCAGATGGAATCACTGGTCCAGACTTGATGGATCGGTAAATGAAATTTGAAAACACTTTTCTTTGGGCTTTATCTTATCCTTGTTTATCAGTCATCGGTGTAGATCAGAATCTTGATATTGTCTTGTTGAATGTTGACCAGGATGAGACGGCAAGCTGATCGATGGGGAGCAGAATTATTTCAAGAAGATGTGGAATTAATTGATGTGAAGGACAGTCCTTTTACTGTGCAGAGTAGTGAACGTAAGGTGATGTTTCCTTTTAGTGACATGTTCTTGAATTAGTTGCCTATCTATTTCTTGTTGGAGGATAATATAAACTGCAGTTAGTTTTCCACTGGTGCCTGGATCCTTTTAATTTTCCTGTGAAGAAGTCTTTCTGGTGTCAAAGCTATTTGCTTTGTAGGATGAATATATGATCAAATCTTTCGTGGGAAAACAAGTATCTTCATGAGATTACTCCATCTGATGGTGCTCGAAACTTTGTATTTATAAACTACCTGTAGTTTTTATGGGACTCTTCTATTTGTTGGGACCTCATTGGGAGAGCTTCATGAGTATTTAGAATGACACTCTTTCCCTACGCAGAGACTACCGCCTAAGATAGCTGGCAACACCCAGAATGCATTTAATTTTTTCTGAAAAATGAGGAAAAGTGTCTTGGGAACATATTTAGGTTGAGCAATAAGAGTGAATATTGATACATCTGTTTGTTTTCTCTAAGTCTCTATAGAAAAGACATTCATTCACAAAGTCTTCTTTTTCTTAGCTATATGTGAGTGGCGGATCTTGCACATTTCTTTTCTATTGTTCTCTCTCTCTCTCTCTCTCTCACACACACACACACACACTCACACACACACATTTGGTTTAAAGCATGCACTCCAGTTTGTGGCCTTTTAAAAATGTTCTTCAACAACTGACTTTTATGATCAAGGATTGTGAGGTGTAAGTTTCCACACCACACCTAATGCTGAACAAGGACGAACTCATGATCTTAACTTTATACAAGTGGAACATTTTTGACAAGGCATACATAGGAAAGACATGATGAGGACATAACAAGGACACACCAATAAATGAATAACATATTTGTAATAAGTTGCACCTCTGTTTCCTTTTCTCTCCATTAATTTCAAAGGGGGAAAAGTTTCCTAAATTGAGTGCTTTTAATCCTAATATTCGGACTTCTTTTTGCTATTGGTGATTTTGATATGGGACACTAAGTATTGTCATGGATGGTAGAACCCAAGCTTTGTAAATGTGATATTCCTACTCTCTCTCTTTTTCTCTCTATATCTATCTATCTATCTATGTGACGACCCATATATAAATTAATTATTGACATGCTAATTAGGTCGTCAATTATGATTTTATATTATAATAATAATAATAAATAAATAAATAAATAAATAATAATAATTTTTTTTGAGAAACAAATGGACCTCAAATATAGACTCTTCGAATGAAAACGAGTCAAATGGCTATAATATTGATCAAATTTTGTATCATATAATGAATATAAATTTCATATCATATTTGTGAAATGACTAATGTCCTATTACAGATTTTGTTTTCTTGCAACATTTGGATAATTTGCAAGGATTTGAAAACGTGCTTTAAGGAAAAAAAAAAGAAAAAAAAAGGAAAGGTAATTAACATGGACAAGTGTCCATGTGATGCTTGGGGACCAAGTATAACCTTGCTATAAATAGCCAAGTCAGGCCAAGCAAAAACGCAGAGAAGAAAAGAGAGAAAGAAAGGAAGGGAGAGAGAGAGAGATGAAGAATAGAAGGGAGAGAAAAAAAAATTTATGAGATCTTATGGTCAAAAGTTGAGTAGTGATTTTATTTTAGATTGTTATCAAATTTGACTATTTGATTCGGGGTATTTCGAATTTTACATCTATTGAAGTCATTGATGGATTTGAGGTACGAGGTAGTATTCAATATGCTCCTGTCTTTTAAATCTCTTTGCAAATAGTGTCCTTTCATTTGTATTCCTATTGATTATTCTGACTGATATGAAATTTTGTCAATGTTATCGGTTGATCTATACGTGTACGTGGGCTAAATACTTTAGGGTTGATTGATACATGTACGAAGTGTACTTGGGGGCATACTTAGTGAAATGTGATTGTAGCCCTGCGGGATGCAATTGTGATTACAACCCTAAGGGGTGTAATGGTTCGATATGAGTATGGATTTTAAATGCCTAAGTATCACTTGCCATGTCACCAAGAGGACTCGAGTATGAGGCCAGGTTTGATAGATATTGAGTTATGTGACTTATCGAATTGAATTTTTGATTCTTTATGATTGTCTATCGATTGAATTATTTGGTATTTGATCATTCATATTCTTTTCTCGTTGAGCATATTGTTTTCTGTCATATTGTATACGGCCTTTAATATTTTTCAGGATTATCTCGGAGGGAAGGGCCAGAGCTGATATTTGAGGAATCAAAGACGGATGAATCTTGATATAATTTTTAACTTTGTATATTGAGGAGATTATTTTTTTTTAATTCGGAGATCAAAATTGTGATTATAAATTTATTGAGGAAATTAGAGCTCTGGCCTTGTATTCGGAGATTTATTTGTGGTTTATTGTGTTCGATCAATTTAATCAAATAACGGGTCCCGAAAACAGGGGGTGTTACAAAGTGGTATCAGAGAAGTGAGACTATCAACTTTCGCTGTAGGTATAGGGGTTTAAAATGTGCGAAGTAAGTCAACAAATACCTATTAAACAACGGTATAAGTTAGAATTTATATCAAAATTTTGGGTTATATAGTAAAGAGTTGAAAAATGTATCAGATTGCGCAGCGGATATTCGTATAATGTATTCATACTTGTTTTACTTTTGAGGTTAGTATTGAATTTTGGAAACGAAATTCTTTTAAGGGGGTAGATTGTGACGACCCGTATATAAATTAATTATTGACACGCTAATTAGGTCGTCAATTATGATTTTATATTATAATAATAATAAATAAATAAATAATAATTATTTTTTTTAAGGAACAAATGGACCTCAAATATAGACTCTTCGAATGAAAACGAGTCAAATGACTATAATATAAGTCAAATTTTGTATCATATAATGAATGTAAATTTCATATCATATTTGTAAAAGGACTAATGCCTTATTACAGATTTTGTTTTCTTGCAACATTTGGATAATTTGCAAGGATTAGAAAATGTGCTTTAAGGAAAACAAAAAGAAAAAAAAAGGAAAGGTAAGTAACATGGACAAGTGTCCATGTGATGCTTAGGGACCAAGCATAACCTTGCTATAAATAGCTAAGCCAGGCCAAGCAAAAACGCAAAGAAGAAAAGAGAGAAAGAAAGGAAGGGAGAGAGAGAGAGAGGAAGAAAGGAAGGGAGAGAAAAAAAAAATTCATGAGATCTTAGGGTCAAAAATTGAGCAGTGATTTTTTTTTAAATTGCTATCAAATTTGACTATTTGATTCGGGGTATTTCGAATTTCACATCTATTGAAGTCATTGATGGATTTGAGGTATGGGGTAGTATACAATATGCTCATGTCTTTTAAATCTCTTTGCAAAGAGTGTCCTTTCATTATCTGAAATTCGTATTCTTATTAATTATTCTGACTGATATGAAATTTTGTCAATGTTATCGGTTGATCTATATATGTACGTTGGGCTAAATACTTTAGGGTTGATTGGTACATGTACGAAGTGTACTTGGGAGCATAATTGATGAAATGTGATTGTAGTCTTGCGGGGTGCGATTATGATTACAGCCCTGAGGGGTGTAATGGTTCGATATGAGTAAGGATTTTAAATGCTCAGGTGTCACTTGTCATGTCACCAAGAGGACCCGAGTATGAGGCCAGGTTTGATAGATATTGAGCTATATGACTTATCGAATTGGATTTTTGATTCTTTTATCTATGATTGTCTATCAATTGAATTATTTGATATTTGATCATTCATATTCTTTTCTCGTTGAACATATTGTTTCCTGTCATATTGTCTACTTTCTTGCATTTAATATTTTTCAAGATTATCTCGGAAGGAAGGACCAGAGCTGATTTTTGAGGAATCAAAGACGGATGAGTCTTGATATAATTTTTAACTTTGTATATTGAGGAGATTATTTTTTTTTAATTTGGAGATCAAAATTGTGATTATAAATTTATTGAGGAAATTAGAGCTCTGGCCCTGTATTCGGAGATTTATTTGTGGTTTATTGTGATCGATCGATTTAATCAAGTAACGGGTCCGGGAAATTGGGGCATTATAATCTATATATATATATATATATATATATATATATATATATATATATGAAGTCATGTGACCTCTTCCCAAAGGCATAGGTTCCCTTTTGGTGAACGTTGGTTGCTGAGTTCCGGGCTTAGACAATGTCGGTAGAACCCTCAAATTTTTATTATTTATGAACTACTACTAGATGCTTATTGTTAGAATATAGATATATATATTTGGGAATGACATTCTTGTAACAAGTATATCCCTTAAGGGGTATAGGTCTTTTTCTCATTCTTTGCATATCTATATAATTAGGGGTGTTCAAATTTTCGATTGGCCGTAATTTCCTACCCTACTCGACCTTACTCTATTAAATGACTAGCCTTAAAAATCGGGTTAGAATGCAGAAGATTTTTTAGTCTTTTGATTAAATTGGGTATGAATGCGTAATACCCAACAATTTTCGCATTCCTATCCTCCCCTACCTGCAAAAAATATAATTAATTTTTTTTAGTAATTATAAGAGTATTTGTGTGGTATAATTTATATTATAATATTGTCATTATTGTGAATGTTTGAGTTGTTAAAATATAGACTGATTTTTTGTGTATGTTATATGATTTGTGGTGAACTGGTGATCTATTTGAGCACTTATGATTTTAATGTGTTTCATATGGTTTAAACTTAAAATAATTGTTATTGTATTTGTGTAACAATTATGATGGATTGATGTTCATGCTTTTTTGTGTTTTATTTAATTGTTGTTGTAGTTGTTTTAGGTTTTAGTGTTATTGATTTATTGTGTTGTTAAATTGGTGCATGTTATTTAATTTAATTGTTAAAATGATCCAAAAATCGGGTAGGAATACCACACCTGATCGGGTAGGGTAGGTCAAGAAAAAATTCTTCCGCAAAGTATTGGGTAGGAAGACAGAAGACTATATTTTCTACCCGTAGGGTAGGGTAAACACCCATATATGTAATAAAACACATATCAACTTGAATTTTTATCGTCTACATATTTTCCTGCCTAAAAATATGACATAACTTATTTTTATCGCATGTTTAATGATTTAATATTTGATTAATTTGTAGTTGAACATAATTATTATTTCAAACATTATCTATTTACGATAGTATACACACGTTGAAAAAATTTAATATAGTGAGATTGATTTTTTGGGCGCTCAAATTTTATGATTTATTGTGCTTTCAGGCACGAGTTATGAACAAGTATATATATATATATATGGAGTGAGGGAGACGTGAGTTGGTACACACTCACAACCTACTTCTCTATTCTTCTCTCTCCAAAACCCTTGCTTCTGTATTCATACTTACAATCATCTGATGTTTGCTTGCTCATTTTACTTTTCAGGTAAAGTGCCATAGTCTTATTGTGGCCACAGGAGCCACTGCAAAAAGGCTCAATTTACCTCGTGAAGATGAATTTTGGAGTAGAGGAATCAGTGCTTGTGCAATTTGTGATGGAGCGTCGCCACTTTTTAAGGGGCAGGTTCTTGCTGTGGTTGGAGGAGGTGATACAGCTACAGAGGAGGCGTTATACTTAACTAAATATGCTCGTCATGTTCATTTACTTATACGTAGGGACCAACTAAGGGCATCCAAAGCAATGCAAGATAGGTGAGGAACATGAATTCCTTTTCTTTTATCTTCTTTTTCTTTCTTATGGTGTTATTGCGTGCATTGCATAGTTGATTGTCTTGAATTGCTTCTGTTTGCATCCGAGTTTGGAAATTATTATTGTATTCCTTAGTTTGTACTGGTCATTAAATGTTGTTTTAGTTGTGTAAGGCATCCATCTGAGTTAAAAACATTTACTGCTGCCCATCCTTCCCTTCACTGGTTTAACACTTCTGGTGTTGCCTTTATCTTTTGGGTAATTGTTTGTAGCAGGAATACCTTTCCATTTTTCCTCTTTACCTTAAAGTCCGTACTTGGAGTCTTCTTGAGTGATGCAAGGCACTCATATATCATAGGAATCACCCATAGTATAGATCCAATGCATCCATAATCATGTAAATTTTACTGATGTAATCATTAGATACAATCAGGACAATTGAATGTTGTTCAACATCTGATAAGGTGACATGGTTTAGTTATTGATGTGTGGTAGACCTAAGCAAGAGGAGGCATTGGAATATGTGGGAAAAAGAAAAAAGAGAGGTGGAAGGGTTGAGCACTGTAGCGCCTTAGTTACCCCCCTTCCTGGGTTGCGTTTGAAAACAGAAGTGAGAATGGACACGTGGGCTGTTAAGTGTAGCACTTCCGCGAACTGATACCCACTACATATATCATAAAGATTTGAGGTGTCCGGATGTGCTATACTGCTGAGAAATGTTTTCTTGCGTCTTGCTTTATCCAATATTTTTTGGGTTGATAAAAAAGAGAGAAGATAATGATGACCTGTCTATGTTGCTTGTGGGCAATGGAGTGTAGGTTTTTCTAAAGCAACTGTTCACCTTGTTTGGAATTCTAATTTGTTTACAGAAATGTTGGTGAGATATTTTCAAATTTTTTTCTTGATTTGGCAAAACCTGTTCTATGAGGATGAGCAGGCAAACATTGTATAAGAGAAGAGCAAAGCAAATGACGCATGTCCAAAAGTAAACCAACCCCTTGGACTGCTACGCAAAAAACCATCAACTTTCAAAGTAGCACATGCATATGACCTTATTTAGTTTTAGAAATATGTTGGACATTATTTAATCAAAAAAACATGTTGGACATAGTAATTTAGAAGCCTAGTCCTGACTGTTTCTGATTCATGACGGGCCCTTGATTTGCTATGAGTCTATGACCTTTTTGTATATATTTTCTTCAGAAGTTCTCTATTACAAGGAATAAGGAAAAGAAACATATTTTAATGGTTGCTATAATTGGCCTTCTAAAATGAATGTGATTGTACCACTGGGAATGCTTATCAACAGGGGTGTTGGTATATAAAGGCATTTCAGGTAAACAACAATTTTTCAGAATAATGACTAATTATGTTGATCTAAGTTAATAATAATCTCTCAGATTTAAGGATATTGCTGTTATCTTAATGGTCTATGGAGTGCTAGAAAGATCCTGTTCTTAGGCTATCTAGTTACCGTCTTAAGCACCATAATTCTTCATACAAAGCCCACAAAGTAATCCCGCTTGTCTTTCATCAAGAAGTTATGAGGGTGGCTTCAATTTGCTTTATGGTGTAAGCAGCTATATGGTATAAGTATTACCCTCCAAATGTCAAGTACTACTATGGACATAATTTCTTATTATACCTACACTTTTTTACTAGTTTCGCATGGTTGCTGTTTTTGGCATTGTGATCCATGGAAATGTCACTGTGGCTCAAAGTTTAATTCATGACTTTTTATTATTCTTTCAATTGTTGGTCACCTTGGCTGTTATGATGTTTCTCGAACAGATTTACTTTGATCCATTTCGATTTATTTCTTTTTCGGGTGAATTGAATTACTAATGAATGATTTGTATGTTAAGTTTCAACTCCCTGGATGTTTGTTTAACAGGTTGATTATGGCGAATGTTTCAGAGTTCAGAACAATCCAAACATCACCTTGCACTTCAATACCGAGACTGTGGATGTTGTTAGCAATACAAAAGGACAGCTGTCTGGCATTTTGCTTAAAAAACTTGATACTGGGGAGGAATTTGTGCTGGAGGCAAAAGGCTTATTCTATGGCATAGGACATTCACCAAATAGCCAATTGCTGGAAGGCCAAGTTGATCTTGATAGCACAGGCTATCTGTTGGTTGAGGAGGGCACTGCGAAAACATCTGTTGAAGGTGTATTTGCTGCTGGAGATGTACAGGTATGGCAAATGTTACTTTTTCCCACTTTAATCTTGTATTTTTACAGAGTTTTGACTTCTACAAGGTGTGTATTCTGATGTCAGTCTTGATTATAGGTGGTGTGAATGCAGTAGTACGCCCCCACCGGAAATTTTGTTAAAAAACAAATTTCTATTTGATTTTAATTCACATGAATTTTTTGACTGGATTGAACCTTTCATTAAGAACATGATATATTGGACACTCCATTGAAGTAAAGATTTCATTGAGAACATGATATATTGCACTTCATTGCTCTTGCGGGCACAAGAAAACAAAATTGGACAAGTTTTGACAGCATACCATTTTACAAAGGGTTCGCTGATACCAAGTCAGATCAAGCAATGCATGGAAGTCTTGGCAGGGTCTGATCTTTGTGCGACAAAGTATTACACTACTTTATTTAACTGTTATATAAGGGTCCAGAAACGAATATCCAGTACCATCCTAGCATAAAATCAACTTGATATGGTTTCTTTATGTCTTTTAGATAATGACAGAAACATGTAGAAGGTTTTTGTTATAAATGTCATTAGTACAGTTCCTTGAACAGCTTAACATCCCTGTTCAAAAAAAAGAAAAAAAAAAAGAAAAGAACCGCTTATAACATCAGTATCATATGTAGTCGAACTCAGAAAACATGAGACAAAGCATAACTGACTTGCACTTGTAAACACAACCATGCTGCATAAAGGTTCTCAACCAAACTTTGAATCCTTCAGAAATTTTTTTTGAATCTATTGTTTTCTATGCTTAGAGGTTGATTGGAGTGCATGTTATTGTTTAATGCCTTTCAGTATCTCCAATGGGGAGATTTGAAGCCAAAAGCAGTTGTTCTGTGTATGGCTAGCGCAACCATCTAACTTGTTGATATTGGCAATGCCCCCTGGCTTATCTTGCCATTGCAATATTGTGAGGCGATGCCTTCTTATTCATGGCTGGACTTGGTTGAGTCACTTGAAGACCTCAAATGTCAGATCACATTTTGATGTGTTCCAATAGACAATATCAATGGACTACTTAACAGGTTATAAGTAATCATTTGTACATAAACAACATTTTTTTTTGTTTTTTGTGTATATAAGCATAGTAAGATTTTACTACCCAAAAAAGCTGGTAGGATATTTTTTTTGAAGTGACAAAAAGTTAGCAGAATAATATGGAAAACATGATCTTAGGGATCTGATAATGCAGGTTTTTTGTTCATAAAATAAATGCCTAATCTTTGTTAGGAAGATAATGAGGTGCAAAGTAAGAACAAGGAACTCTATGAATCTACAACCTGACCTCTCATACATGACCCAGAAAAGGGGTGGCGGGAGAATTATAACCCCACAACTTCTCCCAATTTTTTTTTACATTGAAAATAACGTTGTTTGAGGCAAAGCAATATAGCAAGAAATTGTCAGTAGTTGCAGTAGTGCATATAATTAACTTATGAGTAGAGTCTATCTGAATTGAAGCTTTGTTTTCCAAGTTATGCAATTATTATTTATTAACACTGATGCATCAGTAAAGTAGTCACAATTATATATGTGCTATGCAATATTAAAAACATGATGATACTGACATGCCTATTCTATTTTTAACCATGTGGACAATCTCATGTAGTGCATTCACCATGCATGTTCTGTGAATGAAGTTATCCCGCTGCAAAAGCACTACTCATCTGCTTGTCTGTTAGTATTTTGTTTTATTGAACTTGTGATTATCATGTATTATTGAATGTACCATTTCTTGCTTTGTGAATAGGATCATGAATGGAGGCAAGCCATAACTGCAGCTGGGTCAGGATGCATTGCTGCTTTATCAGTGGAGAGATATCTTACAAGCAATAATCTCCTTATTGAATTTCACCAGGTATTTAGCTTATATGATTGTATCTGATTTTACTTGCGCTGTGAATATGGCAGGGAGATTTATTAATTTTTATAACTTGATTTGCAGAAGGGTTAGTGATATCAGGAATGAAATTTTGGGCCTAATATTACCCTGTTAAACAATGCTTTCTAGGACGCACCACTTGTTTTAAGGGTTATCTAAATCCTATAAATTGGATTACATTGATTTATCAGCCTCAAGTATAAATTTCAGATGTAGCTGGAAGTATTATTTTTTGTTTCTTTTTTTTTTGGTCTCTTTAATATCTCTTTCTCTTTACCTTAATGCCTTCTGGGTCTTCTTTCTTCTCTCTTTTTTCGGTCCTATATCAATTCTATATTCTCTGTCCTATTTCTCTCTCTCTCTCTCTCATCTTTTCATTTCTTTGATCAGTCCATCTTTTTCCCATTCCTTTTTGCTTCTGTTTTTTTTTTTTGTTGAATTTTGAGGCACTGAGAATGTTTTTTTTTTCTTGGTACTAATTAAAAAGGAATGAATTAATTAACTGTAACAATCCAGTTCCTGAGCATTACATTACCCCGACCCTACCTTTCTTAACATACATGTCGTTATCTAGCCTTATAAGCTATATACACCATAGTAACTACGTTGAGAAGTCTTGTAGTTCTGCAGAATCCAACAAAATAGTTAGTCGATGGTGTCAGAATCCAAGCCCAGTCTATCCAAACAAAATTGAATGGCCTCTGTGTGAGAGACTGAGATAGAAAAACAAGACTGGCATGAAGACCTACTAGTGTCGACCCTGTGCAATGCACGGTATATCCAAAAAAGAAAACAAATATGCATTAAGAAAAGAGATTTGATGAGCAGTGGATATTAATTTGAAAAAAAATAAGAAACAATGAATTGGCTAAATTAGCTGACTATCACGTTAATAAGAAACTTTCTCAATATTGGATATCCTCTTTTTTTTTTTTGGTGTAACTGTCACATTCCCTGAAATTCAAAAGTGAGGCCTGGGAATAGAAAAGAGGTGTCTCTCTCCATTATTCAAGACAACCAAGAAAAGAAAAATATTGATAATACTAATTGAAGGCATGAAATCATGCACCCACACATAACGTAGCGACCTAGGAATCACGGATACTCGTCCGGGGTCGCCGTGGCAGTGTCGGACACGTGTCCAACACGAATATGCATGTCCGACACTTGTAGAAGTGTCTTGAACAATGACTTTGATTTTTTTTAGTCGGATACGGCTCGGATATGTGAGGGACTCGGCATGGACATGTCGGGGTATTTTTTGTTATTTTAAAAATTTAGGGGGGTCAAAACGAAAAAAAAAAAAAAAAAAAGAAGCCAAAGCTATGTGAAGCTTCGACATTCAGTGTGTTCGAGAGAAGAGAAGAGAAGAGGAGAACGAGGGACTAGAGGAGGAGAAGGAAGAGGAAGGGAGACTAACCAGAGAGTGCATCTGCTATTGGATCTGGACCTGGCGACCTGCGACTGAAACTTCGACATCTGGAGGTTTGATGCCATCAGATCTCTCATAGATCAGCTTGGTGTGGTCGGCTTGCCCTAGATGCTCACAGCATCGTTCTCTCTCGCTGTGCGATTGGTGTGATCTGTTTGGCCTTAGATGCTCACAGCGTCGTTCTCTCTTCTCTCTCTCTCTTCGTTATGGTGGTCTGGTCTGGTGTCCCGATCAATTAGACTCCTTATTATTCTAGCCCATAGCCAATTACGTTTAACCCCCCTAATTTACTGCTCATAACATTTAAACCACTTATTAAATTTAATATTAACTCATTTGTCTAGTTATAAAATATTAATTAATTCCACAATTTTATTATTAATGTTATTATATATATAAATATATATTATATTATTTTAATTAGCCGTATCTTCGCCGTACCTGTATCCTATATTTTAAAATTTTGTTGTATTCCCGTGTCTGTATCGTATTGGATACGACACCCGTGTCCGTATCCGTGCTTCCTAGGTAGCGACTTGTGGAAGCTTCCTTGAGATAAAACCGAAGCAGATCAAGTTTTTGTGACCAGCTGTTGCAATCTACCTTCAAGACAACCAAGGAAAGTAAAATCATGCACCCGCACATACTGTAGCAACTTGGGGAAGCTCCCATTGAACCAAAGCAAATCAAGCTTTCATAAGCAGCTATAGCAAATCCATCCATGGAATTTATCCAAGTTTGATATTTTGCTTCTACCGTCTTATTTCTGCAGTGTATAAGAGATATTCTTAAGAGAATAAGGTGAATTACAATTTGAGGGGGCGTGGGTATCCTAAGGGATAGATATCACATGGTTATATTTGTGTAGGAGAGTGAAAAACTGAGAAAATAACTGAAATAGATGGTGTGTATCAGTTGTTTGAAAGTAAGCGTGTGTTAGTGGGTCATTTGGAAGTGTGTATGTGGCAGAGGTTGATTGGGTATTGTCGTATTGAGCAATTAAATAAATGCGAAATAGGAGAATTCAAGAAAAGGGGCGGGAAGCACTCTCAGCACTAATTTGATTGCTGTAGATAATAGAAAGATTTGCACAGCATTAGCCACTGCCACCAGCCAAACACCTGTTCTGGGGCTACCCTTAATCCAAGCCCCATTCGCCAGCTTCACAGCCATTTCCACGAGAGTCACTGGCTAAATTCAACCACTGCAGAAACAGCAGATGGGACCATCAGAATAGAAGGGTTAGTCAATCTCTCTTCCACATTCCAGTTACAATCAGCTTGCCACTAGGAAAGGTGAGCTTTATGCTGATAGACCATGGCTTTAGGATTTGCTTTGAGTTTTCTAGATTGAGACAAAGCTACCTGTCTTTGCTCACTTGTCAAAGATGCAGAATGCTTCCATTGATCAACACAGTCCAAAGGAAAAGGTTCCTTGTAACCGTGGTACCCTGATAGCCAGCTCGTTCTCCAACCATAACCAAGGTCATACATCACAAACGAAAAATAAGTGATTGAAGGATTCTTCAAAGTTCAACCATAGAGCACTATGGAAGAGCGTCCAGAAGAAAAACTCAATTTCAGATGGAAGAAAACTGAGCCATGCGATGTCACAAATGCTTACATTGAGTAGTATCATTTCATCCTGTTGACATATATTATTAAGCTTCTCCCTATTGGCTTAAGCTTGTGGAGCAGTTGGTTGTTGACGTGGTACCAAAGCAAGAAGTTTGCGTTTGAAACCTGTCACTCCCCAAAGATGACATCCAACAAAAAATACAAAATTATTTCCATCAATAATATTACAAACAGAGCATATCCTATATATCCCCACGTATTGGATCCATATCCATATCCGATACGTATCGGATATGAGTATGGGAACATTTTCAAGAATCTGTTCTTCCTAGGTTTTCGTGGTTCGCATTCAGGTGAAGAGGGTTCATGGTTCGGCTTGATGAGTTGCTCTTAATGTTAATGTCTTTGCTTATGCAGATCTTCCCCACATTCGCTCTCAAATCTTACTTTTGTGCCTGTTTTGACTGCTTGCATGGACATTATATCATGTTCTTGTAGAGGAAAAAAGAGTGATTGTTGTTTTGGAAGCTTCCCTTGAAAATTTTATTATTTACCGTTTACATCTCCTTGCCCTCCCACAGTGCCTATATGAATATCTGTTAGTGTAAAAATACACACAAAAGGGACATCTTGCATACAGGTTAGTGTAAGGAGCGTTTTTTTTTGGTTGTTGGGTGGTGGTTGGTGAGGAGCGCGGGGGAGGAGGGGTTTGAAGTACCTACAAAGGTGTGAAAAAAGGAAGAAAGGGAAAGCAAAGGGGAAAATTGCTTTTTACACCCTTACCGAGCAATGTTTAAGCTATTCGCGTCTAATCTTCTTCATACTTTGGTTTTGACAGCCCAAAACTGAAGAACCTAAGAAGGAGCTCACAGACAGAGATGTACATGAAGGTTTTGATATCTCACTTACAAAGCACAAGGGCCAGGTATGAGTTCTTTCTCCAAAAGCTTGCAGTAGTATGCTATATTTTCTGGCTTGCATGGCTCTTCACTAAATCAAACTTTCCTTTATGATTATTATCTCTCCCTTCGCTCTAAACTTGTTTTTTTTTCCCAACCTCAGTATGCTCTGCGAAAATTGTACCACGAAAGTCCAAGGCTTATATGTGTATTATATACAGCTCCAACTTGTGGTCCATGTAGGACGTTGAAGCCAATTCTTAGCAAGGTACATAACTCATTTCAATACTGCAAGATATGTAACTATGAATGCATGCTTATAAGTAGCCTAGTACAGTATATTTATTGACTAATTAAGGTACTACATGTTTATTGTGAAAGAGAAAAGAGATTTACTAAGAGTGTTTAAGGTTACAAATTTCAGAAAATTTGCTTGTAAACTCATTATGCGCTACTTCTCGGCATGGAGAACATCGGGAAGAAGGTTTTGAATATTTTGTATTATAATTAAACTTCCAAAATGGGAATGGAGCTAGATCTAACCACATTGGACAATTAAGGAACTCATACAGGGTGCTGGAGATTTCTCTAAAGGTCAGTGGTTCAAGTCAACAAGTGAGGAGGCCCTTCTCACTTATTGAAGACCATTCACAGCTCATTATCTAAGAAGTCATACTAACAAAAAGCAAGTGAAATGGTCGAACATTTCCATATATATAAAATGTTCTCAACCAGTTTATGCTATGACTTGTGGGTTCTCTTAAGTTCCCAAATTTAAATTTAAGATAAATGAACTTATTGTCACACTATAGGCCTGCTTTAATTTTGAAGCAGCCATCTTATAAATCAGCAAAAAACTGGTCCATTATTGAACAATTGCGAAATCTAGTGTGCTCTTTGTATCTTCTCGTTCAATAGACAAGGTGTAGAGTTTGGATTACATGCCTTACACATATTGATATCGACATTTGCCTTGGTGCATTCAATACTTGCCTCAAGGAAAAGAAAAGAAGTCTGTTAAACATGTATAAGCATTGACCTCAACCAAATATTTATATACAGAAAAGGCTCTAGTTGATTAAAATATCAGAATCCCCATCCCCCTCATATAAGTGAAGATGTTATTATCTGGAGTCTGGACTCTGTAGAGGTGCAGGAGGTACTTAACCAGTAACTGACTAAGAAAAAGGGGCTGCAGTGAATAGTGAGATGATTAACTTTCATTTTTCGTTCTGATTTACCACTTGTTAACTTCTTTTCAATTTGTCATATTAAATATTAGCACAAGGAAGAAATCTTTTTGTCATTTGTTATTGTCTTGAATGACTAGCCAGTTTTGTGCTAAACCTTTACTGAATTTCCTTTAATGGCAGGTGATAGATGAATTTGATCAGAATGTCCATTTTGTTGAAATTGATATCGAGGAGGATCAAGAGATTGCGGAGGCAGCTGGAATTATGGGTACACCATGTGTACAATTTTTCAAGAATAAGGAAATGCTCAGGTTGGTTAGAAGTGACATTAAATGCTTTTGTATCTCATAATTTAGTCATATTTTTTTTATTTTTTTCAAATGACCCTTTGATTGTGTTAAAGTACTTTGTAAATGTCGTAGTTTCTAGATATAGGCTTGACAATTTCACCTGCATCCTATTGTATTCTCAACTCAAGCCAACAAGCCATAATTCCAACTATAGGGGGTTGGCTACATGGATTTGTCTTCTCCAATAGCTGCTTTGTAGAGCCTTATACTTGTTTATATCCAGGGCAAGCCTATCCTGTATCACGGCCTCATTCCTCACGTATGTTTTGTTTGTTTGGTGTTGGTTTTTTTTTTTTTTTTTTTTTGGGGGGGGGGGGGGTTCCTCTTCTTCTTTTGGGAGGCTTACACTACCCATCTCATTCTGGACTTCTGGTTGCATTAGGTTTGTTTGTATTGCCCGTTGACATATCCTTTCTTATAGTGTCAGATCTCCATCTTAACATCTTTATTTCGGCTATACTCTTTTAAACATATTAACATCTCATTATCTCATACATAACATATGCAAAACTAGTATATGAGAAATCTTTCTTTGGATTGTTCACTAGCTTAAAAAGCAGGTAAAAATGGAGGGATGTTAATATTATTGGCAGTAATGCATGAATGATCCTTCTAGATCTAGTGCTAAATATTATAGTTGGATGTGCAGGACTTTCCCAGGCGTCAAAATGAAGAAAGAATACAAAGAGTTCATTGAAGCAACTAAGTGAGCTTTTTTCTTTTATTCTTTTTTGCCCTTATTTGTCCAAGGACTTGTTTGGCTGATGCATCATTTGTCGATTCAATTTTGGTCTTTTGAAATTGGCTAGTTAAATAATGCCGTGTACTTTTAAACCAATCTCTTGTATTAGTCAAACACACCTTCTAGTATACATTCTGAGTTCTCAATGCATTATTACATTAAGAACCTCAATATTTTTTTCTTTTTTCATTACACATTTGTAAATCTGGCGGATGATATATAGACAATTGTATTTGTCCCCAAACAATGGGGTTATTGACTTTGCTCGACAATTCGGTTCAAAACAGTTTACAAGAATATTTCAGGCATAAATCTCCTTAAAAATATCTGATCCCAAACTATACATACATACATATATGTGTGTGTGTGTGTGTGTGTATAATAGACGTTTTGGCACCTAGGTGTAAGGCTTTAACATAGCAAATACTATACGTTTTATTTTCTTTGGATTATTGATGATGACCATGACCCAAGATCCAAAATTGTCACACTCGCATGTGCCCTCCTGCCTCCACAGTGACCTTCTCATCAAGGAACGCTTGACAGGTTTTAAAACCTTTCATGCATGTCCTTGATCTCTTTCTGTTCTCCCTCCTATCTGTAAGAAGTTGATTCCTGCATGCATGTAGAGTTATCATGCATGCATGCTAAGCATTTAGTTAGGATTCTACTGTGATGGTGCAAGTAGTTAGTGCACACTTGTGGATACCATCTGCAACGATTTTCCCTTGGTTGGTGGTGGTAATTGATGGGGTAGTGAACAAATGTACACAAGAGAGAGGTGACACCACCATCATCAATGTCAGATCATATTATCGTCAGGGGCGGCCTAACCTAATTTGAAGTCTTGAGCGAAAATATTATATGAAATCCTATAAATATTTATTGAGTAATAATAATAATAATATTAAATACTTATTAAAATATATTTATTTACAAATTATTTATTTTACCTTTTGAGATAAAACATATTAATTAAAATTTACAAATAAAATTGTGTTAATTGAAGTCAAATACGGAGATAAAATACAATGACATATATTATTTGTTTAAGATAAAAGAGAAAAATAATTGAAAATTAGTTTGACTAATAAAATGATTTTTTTGAATGTATATAAAAATAGGAATTTGTTAAATATTATAGAGAAAAAGAGTTATTTTTAAAAAAAAAAATTTAGTAAGACAGCTATGATTAATTAATTTGAGATAGTTAGTACATTATTTCTACTCACACTATTTTATAGTCATCTTGTACATTGTAAACAAAGTTATTAAAAAATAACCTCAAATTTAACTTATACAAATGTAAAATTATTATTTGTACTTATTATACGATAGATAATTGATTTTAATAATAGGGTTGCAAAGTAATCATACATATAATATAAATATCGGGTGAGATGAAAAATATAAGTTGAACTTTAAGGCCGTAAAATTTTTTTTGAAAGAGGTTCTAAAAATTTTACAATAATGCTAGTTCCACTTAATTTGAGGACTAAGTACATTTGATAAATAGTAAATTTTGTTTAAAATTAGCACTCACTATTAATTCAATGATTAAAATATATTGAGTATTTAAATTATATTCTAAATTTTAATCATATATCATTGTTTATTTTATTTTAGGGCCCCAAATTTTCTTCCAATTTGGGGGTCCCTAGGCAATTGCCTAAGTGGCCTAAAGGTTGGGCCGACACTGATTATCGTCCAATTAAAAACAACTAAATAGATAAAATAAATCTTATTTTTTTTGCGCATGGTAATTATTGTATAACTTATATGCGTAATTCTTAAATTTTGCTAGTTTGACCAACTCTTTTATTAGTTTTTTATTGGACGATGATATTATGTAGCGTTGATAACATCGTATCAGCGTTATATTGAAATTTTCTAGAGAGAGAGAGAGAGAGGGAGGGAGCGAGAGAGAGAGAGAGAGATTAGAACATGAACATAACGTTCAAACCCTTATGAAACTTTCTAACGATGCATGTGAAGGAATTTTGCAATCGGTTAAACATAACACATGACTATGTCATGTGGTGTCCATCACTAATGAAAAATTGTACATGATCAATGAATAACTGATACATATTATTTTCTCATAATTTTTTTAAAAAAATTCAACTTGTGTGCCTCACAAAGTACAAACTACTTTTGTGACAATCTCTCGTTGAGTGTGCATATCACATGGTAATGTTACATAGTGTGTTAAAACCCATACAAAATTTTCTCATGCTTGTGGCATTACTATAGAAAGGAACGGGTTTATTATTATCTTCATTCATTAAACATTTCTTTAATTCTTACTTTTTTTAATTCTTTTTTCCTGCCTTAATTTTCTTTCGTGAGTAAAATGTTCGAAAAATTGTTTAAACAAGTTGATTGTTGCAATGAAGACCTTCCCATCTCGGTTACCCTTTTGAGTTGCAATGTTCTTGTTTTTCATCAAGTAATTCTATTTAGACCTAATCATCCGTTCTATTTTGTTAACCTAATTTACTGTACTATTTAATGACCAGTGAGTCCCAATGTTAGTGAGGTTGAAAATAACAGAATGAGTAATGCTATCAGGTCTTAAAAATTTAATCTAATTTGTTGACCTAATGATGTAACTTTATAGTAACTTTTGAATTAACACCAAATTTTAATGTTTGATGAAACATATAATCAATTCAATGACTATAGTGAATTAGATCAACAAATTAAATCAATAAATTCAATCAGATTGTTTGATCCATGTATGTTATTTTTTAGTGAATGATTGAATTAGCCGTAAATTTCCGTCCACAATTAAATGAGCTCTACTATCAATCAAATAACTATAAGTAGATTAAGTCAACAAATCAAGAAATGAGTAAAAAAAATTCTTGAAATGAGTTGGGTCTAAATATTACTATTATATATATGTTAGATGTGTAATATTTCATGGTCAAACACGAGAAAATATTTTACAACGGTGATACCACGTGGCAAGGTGACGTGGTATCACCAACTAATAGTATTAAAACAAATAAGTACATGAAATCCACAAAAATTAATAATTAACTTGCCATGTAAACAAATAACTTCTCACCCTCCTGCCATGTAAGCCCATTTAGGGTTTTATTATTGGTAGGTGATATCATGTCATCAATGGTGCCGTAGTATCACCGTTGCATTCAATATTTACTTATCAAACAACCCCCTTAAAAATAAAAAAAAATTGGAAGCCTTGCCATTTGCAGTCATCACTTTGTGATCAACACCTCATTACTATACATTGACAAATATTTTACCTTTGGAAATAAAAAAAACCATTCTTCCTAACATAAACAATGTTGTGTCAGTCCTTCATGAAAAGAAAGGATTAGAGCAAAATACTATCAGAGAGTCATATATTTTAAGGCCTCCCCGACTGAAAAAGTGACTAGCTAAAGAATATATAATGAGATATATAGAAGTATATACGTACATGTACATTCATATGACCTGCACAGGTTGGTGTTTGTCTTACCAATCAAGCCTCAAGGTATTTAATCAATTTATCAAGAACCCAAGATGTGAAAGCTTGGTGTATGATATTTTGTATAAGTATCTAAATATATCTTGGGTCGGCAAAAGTATCTCTTTAAATATCTGATCCAAAACATAGATAATGTATTTGAATGACCTCCGTTCTTCAAGTAAATATGGGGTATAACAGTTATATCATGTTATCATTGACACGTGGTGTTATTATCTAATAATAAATCTACAAATGGATAAAATGAACTCGATCACTTAGGCGGTTGGCAAGGTGATTACTATAATATGTGAAATCGGTTTGTTTATTTGTTATACTTTTATTAGATGATAATATTACGTGACAATGATAATATGATGTCATCGTTACGCTCAATATTTTTTCATGTTCTTCGCATACCACCCAGACATGTTTTGACATTCTTTATATTTTTTCATTGTAAATACTATACCTTATATTTTTTTTGGATATTATTCGTGATTAATGAGTATGGCCAAGTCCAAAATAGTCACTCCCATGTGCCCTAGTCCTTACCGTTACTCCACTGTGACTTGTCAGTTGTCACCCATTCTGATTAACAAAAGCTTGTCATCTCTGTCGTGGACTTTGACAGATTTTAACTAAAACCTTTCATGGCTTTGGTTTTTCTTTTTCTTTTTTCCCTCTCCAATCTCAACCAAGTATGTTATCTGCATGTGGAGTTACAATGCCTTGCAGAGTTTTTGACCCATCTCATGGTTTTTTTTTAAAAAAATTTCAATTAAGGGTTGATTTGAAAATAATTCTCAAATCCAAGTAATTTAAGGCACGTTAGTTGGTCTTATATTTTTAAACTTGCTATTTGGCTAATATAGAGTTTAAAGACGTCAGTACAATTGAAATTATTAATTAAAAACGTCAGTTGCACTGACGTGTTTAACAACTCAAATAAACCCAATTTTTCCTCTTCTCTTATTTTTCCTTTTTCCCTTATTTTCTCTTCTTCCCCTCCCATTTGAGCCCTAACTCAGGCGACATCACAGCAACCCTATAGCAGAAGACATTCTCAATCACTACTATCGCAGAACCACCACCATCGCAAAACCACCCAGTGCCAACCAGCTCCACCTAGGCCCACCCAGCACCACCCAGGATGACC